GTATCTGTAGTGTGGAACTTGGCACACGCTGAGTGCGCAAATGAGTTGCCTGTGTCATCTCTACCTTAACACCTCTAGTGAAGACAGACTATTCCTGTAAAGTCTAAATGGGTTAATACTTGTAAATCATGAACAAGGGCACCCGCCTCACAGCATGCTATAGAGACACTACTAACCTGGGGTTGGGAGAGCTGTTTCTCGGATTTCCACGGCTTCATTTGCCTCATCCTTACTTTCCCTCAAGGCTCCATTAATTTCAAATCCTATTCCCCTCCTGAACTTCGTTTCCACCAGACCATTTCTTCCCAGGGTTAATTACCCACTGTAATATTTTATGGTTTAATAAATAAAAGACACAGCACTGAGGTTGTCACGGTTTCTCATAACGTTTTTTCATAACAGCTCCACATACTCGCGTGAGCTGTGGCTTCCAAATTAGTCCAAACAGTGCAGTGGCTGGGGCTGAGCTGAATTTTCGTTGGTGATGCATTTGTAGGTTTGGAGTTAGACTGGTCCGGGTATGGATCCTAGCTTCACTGTTTAGTCACTGGGTGACCTTGGGCAAGTTCCCCAGCCTCTCCGAGCACGGGATTTTCATGCACGTGCAGCTCAGAAATACTTCTGCCTCGGATTGGTGTCATTGTGAGGATTAGAAACAATGTCAAGCTCATAAGCCAGTGTTGGCCCAAGGTGGACAAGCAATGGTGGCTGTTGTTACTACAGAGAGGATGATGACTCCATGTAAGTTTCGGAAGCACAACGGAGCAGCTTTGTGCTTTGAGCCCAGTGCTCATAAAGTAAGGCTGTATCTCTCATTTATGCTACCTGCTTGAAGTCTCTGTTTGTTTATATATATATATTTTTTTAATTTTTTTTTAATGTTTTATTTATTTCTAGGAGAGAGAGAGACAGCGTGAGCAGGGGAGGGTCAGAGAGAGAGGGAGTCACAGACTGAAACAGGCTCCAGGCTCTGAGCTGGCAGTCAGCACAGAGCCTGACGCGGGGCCCGAACCCACGAACCGCGAGATCATGACCTAAGCGAAAGTCGGACGCTCAACCGACTAAGCCACCCAGGCGCCCCTGTTTGTTTATATTTTTAATATTAAAAAAAAATCTTTTTTAGAGAAAGAGAGCATGAGTGGGGGGAGAGGGGCAGAGGGAGATGAAGAGAGAATCTTAAGCAGCCCTGATGTGGAGGGCTCGATCCCACAACCCTGGGATCATAACTTGCACCAAAATCAAGAGTCAGATGCTCAATGGGCTGAGCCACCCAGGCACCCCAGTGTGGTCTCAGTTTAAATGCCAGCTCTAGCGGGGTGCCTGGGTGGCTCAGTCGGTTAAGCATCCAACTTCGGCTCAGGCCATGATCTCATGGTTGGTGGGTTCGAGCCTCGAATCGGGCCCTGTGCTGACAGCTCGGAGTCTGGCGCCTGCTTTGGATTCTGTGTCTCCCTCTCTCTCTGCCTCTCCTCTGTTCATGCTCCATCTCTCTCTCTATAAAAAATAACTAATAAAAACCAAAAGAAGTAAAAAATAAATAAATGCCAGCTCTACCACAGAGACTTTCCCTGATGTCCAAGGCACAAAACCACTCTCCCTCTTCTGAACATTCACATCCACGGCCCTTTATCAGAACTTCTTACATGATCCCTCCACCTTACAGTCCAGCTATTGACGTCATTAGTCTGCTGGACCTGCCTTCAGGAAGTGCCACAGACCAGAGTGTTTAAATAACAGAAAGGTATTTCCTCACAGTTCTAGGGCCTGCAAGTCTGAGATCAAGGTGTGGGAAGGTTTGGTCTTTTCTGAGGCCTCTCTCCTTGGTTTGCAGATGGCTGTCTTCTCCCTGCTTCCTCACATGGTCTTTTCTTTGTGCGTATCTGTGTCCTAATCTCCTCTTCTTATAAAGATACCAGTCAGACTGGATTAGGACTCACTAATCACCCCATTTTAAGCTAATTACCCCTTGTAATGACACTATGTCTAAATACAATCCCTCTCTGAGATGCCGGGCTTACAACTTCAACATATGAATTTGGGGCACAATTCAGCCCGTAACATCCATGTGTATATCTTATCCCATGACCTCCCTTTCGCCAGCTGAGAGTTGGTGGAGTAATGGACACGCTTTCACATGTTTGTCTCTACCATGCATTGCTCCTAACCAGCACTCTGTAAAATGAATACATGAAAGAGAGAGTATAAAAAAAAAAAATGTCAAGGAGGAGAAGGGGCCAAGGATCTTAAAATTCTGATTTTAACTTTCAGCTGAAGTATAAAAAGGAGGCAGTTCTGTGAAAGGGAGTCATGTTTCCCTTCCAAAGTCAGGCCTCAGCCCTTGGAACAAAAGGTCTGCTGAATGCTTCTGAGCCTTCTGAAGTGAGTTCACTGACAGAACACTCAGCTGGGAGGTCACTGGCCCAGCGGCCCAGGCTCCTCCGCCGTCTGAGAACTCACCAGAAGAGGAAATGCTCAACTCAGGGCGAAGAAAGCTGAGAAGTCTCCCCAAGGCCCCTCGCCTGGCCAGACCTTACCTGTGTGACTGCAGTAATTAGGAAGCCAGTAGGCACTGGTCAGTGTGGAAGACGCTGCCGGTGTCTCCACACCCTTCAGGCCTCAGTCATCTCCATGTGCTTCCTCAAGCTTCCGGCTCCTGGCATCTTTAACTCTGTGCTCGAAGGCTTTTTCTGGTACCATGGAAGGTCAGAAGTGCTTCGGCATTAACACGGTCCCCCACCCCCACACCACCCCTAACCTGTGCCCCTTCAGTCTTAAAGCTCTCTCACCCTTCCCAGGGACTAATTTGGACGCTGGAGTTTTGCACCACTTCCCCAGCAATTCTACAGGATGAAGCTTCCGTTGCCCCTTGAGGCAGGTGGTATAATGCCACACCCTTTCCAGACTGCTCTCTCTCCTTCCTATTACCTCTCCACTTCCTGGCCAGTGTCCCCTGCACTTTCCAAACAGATGCAGTAGCCATGAGTCCTTGGCTCAGGGTCTGCTTCAGAGGACTCTAACTCAACACACTCGGCATACGTCAGACGACAACCAGTCAGAGAGCCTCCCTCCCAAGGTGCCTGGTTTCTCCAATGTGTCTGCCTAACCAAATACCTCTTCCTTGGACAGCAGTGGAAAATGTGACCCAAGCCCCCATGTAGAGGGGAATTCAGGTCATTCATGAGTGCTCAGTGCTGTCTCCTCTCTCCACTTGACCCCCATGCTAATGGGTTTGGTCCATTTGCAAAGGCACCCGAGGTGGAGAGGAGATCAGGCACCAGGGAGATCCCCAATTTTACAGGAGCTCCAAATCTAATACCAAGCCAGCCATAAAGGACTAGGTCAACTAAGAATCCCACCATGGGTAGTGGCAACCCAGCTCTGGCTCGTACTTACTGGGCTGCCCTAGAGTCACCTCAAGGTCTCAGGGCTCCATCCTCTGAGGCCTGGACCAGGCGAAGCACAGCTCCCACCCATTCTCTGGCAGAATCTAGTTGGCATCCAGGCCAGGCTGCTAATGGCACACTAATTTTCAAAATCGACATAAAAGCAACAGTCATTTTGTTCTGCTCAGAGATACAGGCCGACATCAGCAACCATGTCTGGGAGACATGGGAAGCCACTGGCATTTCATAATGAAAATGTTTTTCCACGGTACTAGGGAAGGCAGGGAAGGCTGTGAGCGCTAGGGAGAAAATGATTCATGCAAATGGTTTTTAGATAAGGCTTTCCTCTCTGGCATCTGTGTTTGGTTTCTCTTGGGTATCATTTTATTGCAAATTGAGACTATGAGGCACTGTCACTACAGCATCTGAGGTAACCATTCACTGGGCAAGAGACCACTGCCCTCCCCATACATTGTCCCCACCCGACCAGGACACGGTCATTCACGTAGGCTGTGCTGGCCATTGAAGAATGTCCACCATATGTCTGCTTTTATTGTTCTCCTGATAACCACCTTCATGCCCGGGAAGGAAAGGACAAAGTGCCTGATTCTTCAGCCTGACAAACAGGTTCAACTATTTTTTTAAATTACCCTAACATTCAATGCCACAAACACCTGTCTGTTTATTTCACTGGCAACCCGCACTCGTCGTAAACCAAAACCAAAATACACTCTTCTGTTTAGGTAGGTCTATCATAGATGCAAATGGAATGAATGAGTAGCACCTTGGTATTCAGCAGAGGCATGCAAGTTCCCTTCATACTTTCTGAAAATACCATCTGCTCATATTAGTGAGCGTTCAGCATCCCAGCTCACCTTCCTTCCTCTCTACTCTTTCATACCTTGTCCTGGTGACTCCCATTGTCCCCGAAGCCTGGGATGCCAGCAAAGCCACCTCCCCACTGGCTTCAGCCCTCCTTACCCTTTTTTTATGACAAGCCCCCAAATCACTTTTTATGGAAGAGCTCCTAGTCAGAATTAATTATTTTTACCTAGTTCCTCTTCCTGTTTTTTATAAATCTACTTATTTCCTTCTTCTCCCTCTCCTTCTTTAAACAATTAGGTATGGTTTCTGCCATCTGGCTCTTCGCCTCCTGAGATCAAGGGCTATTTTCCTTATCTCTAGCCCAAGCAACAGCACACACAGAGCTCTCAATAAGCCTGTTCCAATGTGAAGTTGCTTTTTAACAAACTGTATTTTAAAACAAAGAACACATCCCTGTTTCTAGAAATGTTCAAATAATTCTATTTAGTCTGGGAGTTCCCCTCCCTTAGCTAAAAAAAAAAATTACCCTATCGCTTCCCTTAAGGAAATTTCTGTTTTTAAATACTGAAATACATCCAGCTTGAGAGGTGAACGTTTCTTCAAATGCTACTTTTGGAATTTCTGCTTTAGTTCATATGGGATTTATAAGATGCTTCAATATTCCATAAAAGTTTTTAGTCAAAAAATATTACAAAGTTCACAGATGAACTGACTGCTTAAAGATTTACGTTCAAGTCAACCAAAATTTTATTCATACTTATTTTTACTGAGAAATGTATCAATAAAAATTACCTTCTCATAATCAGTTGAGAAGTCAAACTTCTTCTGCAGAATTTTTCTTAAAATATCTGGAGGGAAAAGTCACAAAAGAATAGCAAGATTACTTTCACAGTAAAAACACAAAATGCAGATTTAGAAAATAAACTCTACATATACTTACAAATCATTGTACCCCTATGTAGTAGTCTTATCTTTTTATTTCTATTTCTTAAAGTAGGTAAATAATTAAGCTAATGAGGCTCTAACCAGAAGCAAAGAATGGAGAGCAAATATTTTTGACCTACTATTTTGCCAGAGGTAGAATTAGACAGTCACCATTTTGAAGAGTTTTCAATTTCTCACAAGACACCTGATATTTACCAGGATATACATCATCAATAAATTACTGATAAAATGTTACACCAAAATTGCTGACTCTTCATTTTTTGGAACTACAAATGCAACTTATTCTTTAATAATTCCACATTTACATAATATTTTACAAATAAAAACACCTTACAAATAATCCAAGCAGTGTATGAAAACCTGAAATAATACGCAAAATGGGATTTTCCCCTCCATGTTCATTTAGGACTTTTTCGAATTTTCATATAGGTTACGATCCACCTCTTATTCTGACTCACCAATCTAGAAATGATATGATATGACTGATGCCCAGACAGAGAGAAACACTTGTCTAAAATTTGTGATGCATGAAGAGGCCAGACCAAGGCCCAGATGAGTCTTCCTTTTTCTGCCCCAAGGTCCTTCCCACTGCACATTGTAGTTCGCCCCAGGAATGAGCTTCTGGAACGCTGTGGCTATATCCTGTACACATCACTTCTAAAGTGTGCTACAAGGGGAGCAAAGGAAAACTGTTGCGAATCCTTTTTTAAAGCAAGAAGCGCAGATCTGCACACCAGAAAACAAAGCAAGCCACCTCCCCACGGGGCTTTCTGGAAAACAACTCCCCACCTGCACAGAGCGAACTAAATGCAGCAGATCTTTAAAAGGTGAGCTGCAGGAGAAGGGATCAAACTGGTAGGTTTGGGATGCTTACTCTAGCCCTAGGATACTGGGAACCCTAGTTATTCATTCCTCCAAGGGAAATCGGGGTGACCCGAGGATGGGAGAAACCTGAGTCTGCCCAACCCCACAGATCTCCTCTAGCCTTGAACTAGTCACTTTGCTTTGGTTTGTTTTACAGATTAGGCTTCTGTTCTAGATTTCATTGGATCGAAGCGTCCACCGATGATTTTATTTTAATTGGGAACCATCCATTTATTAAAATATATTTAATGACACAGGTGATGCTCCTGTGTTGCATTTTGGGGTCTTGATCTAGTTAAGAGTTGGGATGGAGTCCGAGCGCCACTACTTTTCACAGTGTCGCCTCCTGGGTGAAGAATCACCTGCCACAAGCATCTTCATCTGCAAATCGGGATGACATTAGTCTCCACCCTCAAAGGACTACTTCGAGTTAAGTGAAATAATGCAGACAAAGGAAAACAGTACAGGGCCTGGCACATAGTGGGCACTCGGTGTATGCTGTGGTAACTGCTCCGTGAAAGGGCTTAGGAAATGTCTGCTGCAAAGCAGTACGCACAGTAAGTGTTGCATGGAAGGCGTTCTTGTGGCCACAAAATATCCATTCACTTGTCTCATATTTATAAAACCCAAACAAAGCAACCAAAATGAAAATTTTGAGTTTCTTCTGGGGAACTGCTCCCTCCTTCCCCTCAGGTCATACTGACCAGGTAAGCGGTGAGCCCCGTCTCAGAAAGATGCATCCTCACTGGCCTCAGTGGGCAGATGTCTAACCGTGGTCCGTGAACCCTTTGGAACCCTCAAGATATGTTGAGGGTGCCCACGAGGAGGAAGCAGAAGATGTGATTTGCCTTTTCACTGTGTTGATATTTGTACTCAGAGTGCAAAAACAATGGTGGTGACAAGATGGCTGTGATTTAGCAGGAATCACACGGTATCTATTATATTCTTCACTGCCACGGACTTATGGAAAATGGAAGCCAAGTTATGAGAATGATCTTGACGATTATTAAAATCATAGTGTCTGACTTCAGCTCAGGTCATGATCTCACAGTTTGTGGGTTTGAGCCCTGCCTCGGGCTCTTTGCTGTCAGTGCAGAGCTGTTTTGCATCTTCTGTCCCCTACTCTCTCTGCCCCTCCCCAGCTCACTCACTTGCACTGTCTCTCTCAAAACTAAATAAACATTTTTTAAAAAGAGAATAATCTTGATGGAGCATTGAAAACCTATAACTGTATTAAATTTCAATCTGTGAGTAGCCATCGTTTTATTATTCTGTGAGAAAATGGAAGCGCGCATAAGGTGCTTCTGCCGTACGAGCCCCCATTCCCGGCTGACTCCAGAAAGAGCACTAGGTGCTGGGTTTGGGTTAGGAGCTAAGCTCACCACATTTCTTATGGAGCACCATTTTCAATGTAGAAGAAAATGGAGAGACAGACCATGGTTATTCAGACTTGAGGATCTCAGAGACACTTGCTCTAAAATGGAGGGAGCAGAGCCCACAACTTCAAGACGGCAACTGACGGGACTTGTTGCCAATGATCAAATTAGAGCATTTAAGCAAAAATTAGAATTTTGCAAAATCTGTATCTGTGGGGTTGACAGACGTGGGGTTTTACCACATCGTTCTCACTACACTTGAACACATGGGGCAGGTGCTTCTCTAACAGACTATGGGGAGGCCAGTGAATATGAGACGCATGGATCGCATGTTGGCCACAGACTCTGTGAGATGGTGACAGTCTTCCAGTGCCAAACAGATGCTCCCATCGTCTGCCGGAAGATTCCCGGCCCCTCCCAAGTTCCCGCCATTTCGGTGGTCCCGGGTATCGAGGAAGGGTCCCAGCTACACCAAATGACGCTCCTTAGTGACAACGGATCCCTGTCCTTTGTCTGCCAGCTGGCCCCATCTCTCTGCCATACTGATCTTTGCCATGAGGGCCAAAAACCCATCTCAGGTTTGGGGGCAGGGATCTTCTCCCTCCCCCGATTTAGGGCAGCACTGCCTAACAGGAATATATTGCAAGCCATACAAGTAATTTCAAATTTCCTAGTAGCCACATTACAAAGTGAAAAGACACAGGTGATTAGCTTATTTTAAGTGAATTTTAATAGTATGTTGCACTTAATCCAGATATATGCAATATATTGTCATTTCTATATGCCATCAATATAAAAAATATTAATGAGCTACTTTACAGTCACTAAGTGTTCAGGGTCTGGTATAGATGTGCTTCAGTACGTCTTAGTTCAGACTAGCTATAATTCAGGGGCTCAGAGGCCGCATGTGGCCATGACCGCTGTACCAGATAGCACAGGGTCATCCACCTTGAAGGCCTCACTCCTTTTCCTTATCCCTCCTCCCTCTCAGTGTTCCCTGTCACAAGAATACAAAATGAGCATCCACAATATCCATTTTTTCTTTGCCTTCCCTGTATATCTCTAAGTGGCTCTCAATCCAGGTCAATGAACATCAGCAATGCCTGTAGGATAACAGCCCAGCGTCTTCATTTGTGATGCCCTGGCATTAACTCTGCTGCTCACACCACAGGTAAGCACTCAGGAGGCCCCACGCTAGGAAACTCTTTGTCAGTTCTAACATGTTTGTCTTTCTTGAGAACGTTGAATCGATTATGGTCCATCTCAGAAAGCATGTGGAAGACCCGGGTCCCGCTTCTGTTCCCCGACCCCCGTCACCCCTGCTTGGTGGGTTGGTTGCACTTTGTCTTTGTCTCTATCCTCCTGGCCAATTTGCTAAAGGCTTCCAGTGAAACCAATCTCCACCTCTGGATCTCCTGCATCCCCAGAAAGTTCCAGGGATCCAGAACCGTTTGTGGTATTCATGCTGCATAAATATAACATTATCCAAAAAAAAAGTGTTGCTTCCTTTTTGTAGACCAGACGGGAATCCTGAGGTCTGTGACTATACTCGTATTGCCTAGTGAGCAAGGTAGCCATTAGCATTTGGATCACTACAGTGTTATCCTGACCTCCGTGAGACCTCAGTGTGGACAACAATGGGCACCTTGTCCTTCCTAAACTGAGGGAGGGTCTGCTCTGACAGAGCCTGATAGGCAGATAACTATCAGTTATGGGCCAGATAACTCTCAGAGGCCAAAGAAAGACTCTCCCTGCCCTAAACTCAGGGAGTTACCTGGCCACCTTTCCCATGTGGTGACTCATTTTCCACTCTACAAATCCCATGCTCTTTTCACAACATAACAGTTGTGCTATATCTCTTAAGATATAGCAGTGGGAGGGAAATACAGATGCCAGTCAACAAAGAAGTTCTTTTCATGGTAGATTATTTCTCAGTATCTGCTCTCATGAAGGACCTCTGCGGATTTTTCCAGAATGATGGTGGCTATGAGCCTCTCTTCATTCAACTCTTAGGTGCTATGATATTCTCTTACCTGGGATTTAATTTTAAATTTCATGTGATGATGGAAATTAAGAAAAGTAACAGCAAGGGCTAAGGACAACCTCTTGTGTTATACCATCAACTTAGAAAGTAAGTTGCATTGGTTTGGTTGGTTGGTTGTGGGCTTTTTGCTGTGTGTGTGTATATGAATAATTTCTCTATGAATTTTTTGATGTCTGAGGCCATACAAGTAAGATAAAATAAGAAAAGCGCCTTGTGCAGGATCCAAATATAAAAAGTCCAGCTTCTTTATCTTAGTCAAAACTCATCTTTGACTAAGTAAGATATTTCTGTTTCCCAACTGGGCTTCTTTTAATACATATGTAGGTTCTGGTCCAAGTTAGGCAAAAAAAAAAAAAAAAAAAAAATGAAATTCTACTCTTGAAACGTTCTCTTGTAAAATGGATAGACAACTTTAAGTTTTTTTTAAATGTTTATTTTTAAGAGACAGAAAGAAAGAAAAAGACAGAGTGCTAGCAAGGGAGAGACAGAGAGAGAGGGAGACAGAATCTGAAGCAGACTCCAGCTCTGAGTTGTCAGCACAGAGTCAGACAGGGGGCTCGAACTCACAGACCATGAGATCATGACCTGAACCAAAGTCAGATGCTTAACTGACTGAGCC